CATACTGTATGATTTATTATTATTATTAATATGAAGATATTATTAAGATAAGATAAGATGTTACTTTATTGATTGAACATTTTAGTTTAGAATGTGCTGTCCCACGGTAATTCAGAAGGCTCACAGGTCACATTCCAACCATTATTTAAAACAATAGGTGCTTTCACACCGTCTACAGTTTGATTTGTATAGAGCAGGGATGGGCAACTTTGATGGTGGTGGGGGCCACATCATTGATGTACTGGCCATCAGGGGGCCGCAGATTCACTTGGAACACACACACACAAAAATGCCATGTGTTGTATGTAATTATTAACAAATATACTAAGTCTGACATCTTCATTGACNTCAATCAATAAAGTCAATAAAAACATCTTATCTTATCTTATCTTAATAATCCCTTTCGGACACATACTGTATGATTTATTATTATTATTAATATGAAGATATTATTAAGATAAGATAAGATAAGATGTTTTTATTGACTTTATTGATTGAACATTTTAGTTTCGAATGTGCTGTCCCACGGTAATTCAGAAGGCTCACAGGTCACATTCCGACCATTATTTAAAACAATAGGTGCTTTCACACCGTCTACAGTTTGATTTCTATAGAGGGACCTCTGTGGCCTAATGGCCAGATTNCCTGTCACCGCAACTTACATGATGCCGAATTTAACAAACACTTTTAAATAATTGGTTTAAACGGCATAATAATAAGGACGATCGTCCGTTCTGTGATTCAGAATCACAGAACGGACGATCGTCCTTATTATTATGCCGTTTAAACCAATTATTTAAAAGTGTTTGTTAAATTCGGCATCATGTAAGTTGCGGTGACAGGTCCACACACTGCTTCCCCGCAGCGAGGCTCCCCCGCCCTCCTGCTGATAGTTGACGAGCAACAAGCTCCTCAACCCCCCCCCCGTTGATCATTCTCGATCGTTGGCACGCTGATAACAATTTTTTTTTAAAATGGCACTTCATATCAAAAAGGTTGCCGACACCTGGTGTACACTGAAGTAATCACTTTCAGTCATTTGTGTTGAATAGCATAGCTAATCCCACCATCCCTCTTGTGCAGTATCCTTTACCCTTGTTGTATCATTTAAAATCAACAAACACGCAGCTCCTACAAAGGCTTTTTAGTTTTTTGTCTGCTTTTATGTTTCAATCCATTGTAACACAGTGTTATGAAGATGGCTTGATCTTATTAGATTAAAGAAAATGCTCAGGGGAAGTACCTTTCGTTTTCTTTCTAAGAGCTATTACATTTGTAATGGAAATGGAAATGTTCTTTGCTCATTTTCCGAATGACCAGATTCTCAAAGGCCTTTCTGTGAGACCTACAAAACCACTTTGTGGACACAGCGATCACAAGACCATTTCACTGCTCGCCACAGCACATGATTCAAATAACAGTTAATGTCTTGTTTGTACTTTTGTTTTTTAAGCCTATGCTGCACATTGTCTGCCAATTTTAAACTGAATAACCTAATTTATATTCTGTTTCATTATCATAAATGCTGTGTTATACTTCTCAAACTAAAATGGATTTACTAATTTAGGTTTTGATATGAATGCACACACACACACACACACACACACACACACACACACACACACACACACACACACACACACACACACACACACACACACACACACACACACACACACACACACACACACACACACACACACACAGATTATTTAATCCTATTAATGGCTGCTGGGGACTAGTACCACACATAATGAGCTCTGCCTAAGAGAAATACAGTATAACCTTGTTCACTATGTATTAAGTCACAAGCATAGAAGATCCTGCTGCCAGTGATTTTTCATTTACACTTCAAGGAGTCTGAATTGTGCTTTTTAAAATGTTTTATTCAAGAGCAGGAGCACATTAACAGGTGGTGCTTTTTAAGTCAGCATAATTATTCCACTCCTGTCCTCCTTTAATGAAACTGAGGAGCGGAGTCCTCTAAACGTGTCCCTGCTTTCAGATGAGACACAGAAACTCCTGAAGGAGCTCTCCAACAGGAGACCCCTCCAGGTGCCAAACATCTACCACCACCTGCCTCACCTGCTCAACAATGAGGGCAGCCTGCACCCCGCCGTGCAGGTGGGTCTGGGCCGCACAGGAGGTAAGCAGTGCACACGCACGCAACAGTTACTGTCCTGATTAATGAGCTTCTTCTCCAGAATATGCATACTACACAAACACAACAAACTCTCCCGAGATGCTCATTACACCAGAGAGAGAGAGTCGGGTCTCAACAAGTCCTCAATGGTGACTCGTTCACTACAACTATCCCCTCTGGAATGAGCTTGGTAATAGGATATTTTTAGAGAAGATAATTACTTTATAGTGTCTGTACAGTGTAATTCTTTATTTACTTTACAAGGTGTGTATCTTAACTCTTATCTTAATCTAAGAGGATTTCCCTTTTGCTCTCATTCATTGGTCTTATATTGGACCTGAGGTGCATTGTAAAAAAAAATAAAAAATGATGTGACCTTCAACAAAAATGTACTATAGGAAACACTCCTTAGCCAAGTATTTGTTTAAAGAAAATGTGTATTCCTACTTATGTATAGAGATGTCCCGATCCGATCACGTGATCGAGGATCGGAGCCGATCACGTGATTTTCAAAAGATCGGAATCGGGAGAAAAAAAATCGGGGATCGGGATTTTTTAAAATTTTTATAAATACTTTTTTTTTAAATTTTGTATTCAATGTTACAAAACAAAAATGACCATGTTCATGTCTTAAAGTCATCCTGAGGCCTTAGTTTTGGTTTCAAATTACACAACATCATGTATGTTTTGCTGCTTTTGGGCACTCTGTTGC